AGATCACACTTATCTCAAATGAATTAAGGAAGTCAAAATACATATGTATTTGGTAAAAATATCGTTAATCTGCAATACCTAGAAAACCTTTTATATACTACAATGTTAACAAAAGTACAAATATACGATTTTTTAATGTGCGCGATAAAATGCTACAAATCATTATGTTTTTTTTTTATATAAGGCAAAATAAATTCAAAATATGTACGTAATACGTATGGTACATTAATATTCATAAAATCAGTTAAATTAATATATTTTGCCTTTGAATAAATTTTTCATTATACTTGTATTCGCCTTATCATAGCATTGACAATAATAAGCAAAGTAAAAATAAAATAGTAATATGGTATGTAAAAAGCGCGTTACTATTTCCAAAGCACAAAGACACGATGGGCTTTAAAATTATACCATATCAAGCTAATTCAAATGATACCGTATGATACTTTCTTAGTTGCAAGATATATAAAAGAAATATAAAAATGCTAGAGAGAGGTTAGAAAAAAATCAAATTCTGTCCTTAAAATTTTGTTTCCCGATACAATTCGACCTTTTTTATATATAATATAAACGCTTTTAATATATAATTATTATTCAAATACGTTTATACTTAGGTAGCTAAAAATTGCATTTTTTTCAGATTTAGACGAAACCTTAATACATTCACAACATGATGCAATGCCTAGAAACACTGTTAAACCAGGAACACCTCATGATTTTACTGTAAAAGTAACAATAGATCGACATTTAGTTCGTTTTTTTGTGCATAAACGCCCGCATGTTGACTTTTTTCTGGATGTGGTTTCACAATGGTATGATTTAGTCATATTTACCGCTAGTATGGAAATTTATGGAGCCGCCGTAGCTGACAAATTGGATAATGGAAGAAATATATTTCTAAGAAGATATTATCGACAACATTGTACACCGGATTTTGGTTCATACACAAAAGACTTATCAGCAATATGCAGTGATTTAAATCGTGTATTTATAATAGACAACTCTCCAGGTGCTTATCGATGTTTTCCAAATAATGCAATTCCAATAAAAAGTTGGTTTTCGGACCCTACAGATGTATCACTTTTATCATTGCTACCAATTTTAGATGGATTAAGGTTTACAAACGACGTTAGATCAGTTTTATCTAGAAATTTACATTTACATCGTTTATGGTAGCATATTGGTTTGCTTTAAGTACAAATAGGAAACTTTTTATTAGAAAATAATTTTTTTATTAAAATAGTAAATATTTTTATTTTTATTTAATCTATGAAATATAGAAAAGTGTAAGGTATAATAAAATTATTACAATTTGAAGTAACCAAGCCAAAATATGCTTTTTGTTTTATTACCAAGTCCCTTTCCGAGGCGAAAATTAAGAAATAAGTCAGTTAAATGTTAATCTTGATAACTATCAGATTTTTCATTCCATTTCCTGCTTAGTACTCAGCATTCAAAATCATAAAAAAATTACGAAAACAATGTGATATAAAAAGTTTGCTATACTTTAACGCAAATTAAATAAAAGAACGAATTTCAAGGTATTTTTGATAAAGCAATATGTTTTCGTATTTCCAAAGCAGTCATTAATTCGTCAGTTTAGCGACGAGCTGATTTTTAGAGACCGTATTGTGTATACAATAGGTAGGTTATGTGATGGCAACAAATTTTGCATATCGAGTTTACAGTGGGAATGCACTTTTCCATGGTAGGGAAATGTCAATAAACCATTTTTAGCAACCTGTCGGTCTGTGTGTGCATGCGTGTGTCTAAAGTTCGACTGAACCGATTTTGATGAAATTTTATATGTAAGTTTATTTCCACCATGGCACGGATTGATCATTGGGATATATCAGGTCTCGGGAACTGCATTTTTTAGCGAGAACTGATTTGCGGGCCGATTTTACATTTTCTCCATATATACGGAACGAATTGATGGAATTTCTTGAAATTTGATATTTAAGTTCTGGTACCGAAACTAACTGGGGAGCATTTCAGGGAATTCAGGTAGCACAAAGCGAAACTCTACTAAGAGCCAAATTTACATTTTTCTAGGTGTGTTAACTATAAGCCTACCAATGTCCTAAAAATTGCAAAGAAGTATTTAACAGACATTTTTATAATATCCTGTAACACTTTCACTTAACTAGACAATACACATTGCGGTCGGTTATGTGCTGTTGACATAAGATTTTTTTTATATGAGAATTTGGATTTTCGACATTGTCTTTATTTTTGGCAAAGTATATGGTAAATTCTTAAACGTCAAATTTTACAAAATCTGAGTTGTCTGAGTTTACGAATACTCTACTGCGTTTTTACTTTCAGCCAAAGTTTAAATTCTTAAACGTTTAAAAAAAGTCCATTAAGCGTCAAAATTGTAAATTTTTTTTTTTTACCTGTAGACAGTTTGACGTAGTAATTCAGTAAATAAATTTGATGTATTGAGTGACTATCATTACGTTAAAAATAATATAAAATATTTTTTTTGTTAATTTTTAATATGTAAGTATAAAATTATTTTAAATCTAAAAAAAATTTTTTTTTTGTTTTGACGTTTACGGATGATCAAAATTCAAAGTCAATTACGGGTAAAAAGTTTACTATATTTCTGTCCGTAAAAGTTTTATACGTCAGACAGTTTGCAGACTGAAAACAAAATTTTGATGTTAAAGAATTTGCGGATATATCTATATAAAAATTAGTTCGATTATCCATTTACATCACATTAATGCAATCACTGTCCAATATTTGTGTACAAAAAATTGCCTTAGCTAAAAGAGTTAAGAAGTAAATTTATTTTTTTCAATTTTATATACATAGGAATTTTTGAGATAGAGAAAGAGTAATTTACGGGTAAAAAGTTTACTACATTTCTGGCCGTAAAAGTTTTATACGTCAGACAGTTTGCAGACTGAAAACAAAATTTTGATGTTAAAGAATTTGCGGATATATCTATATAAAAATTAGTTCGATTATCCATTTACATCACATTAATGCAATCACTGTCCAATATTTGTGTACAAAAAATTGCCTTAGCTAAAAGAGTTAAGAAGTAAATTTATTATTTTCAATTTTATATACATAGGAATTTTTGAGATAGAGAAAGAGTATACAATGTATGCCTGCCTATTTTTTTATAATGTATTTTTAGAGGCGGAAATTTCTTATTTTTCGTCTATGAAGTATAAGGAAAAATATTAAAAGTTTCAAGAACCCGAATTTCTTTTGTGTAATTCATTCCATCACAAGATGGTAATAATGATAATACATACATATATCAATTGTATAAGCGATTTAAAAAAAACTTTACATATCGTTGATATTATGAGAGTCTCACGAAACTGCTCTTTTTGCGTTTCGAGGGAAACGCATTTGAAAATATACATAATAATATCAATTAGCAGATACGTGCAAAATTTACGTAATTTTTCTGAAAATACTAACGTTAGAGTTACGTGAATTTTTTATAAAGATAGTTTAGAAAATTCTAAATTTTTCTGTATATATACACAGATATCTTTATATACATGTACATTGTAGGAGTTTATGATATATAACTCAAAACTCTCAAAAACCAGTTTCGTGACTTTTCCATAATACACACGATATATAATATAATTTTAAAAAATAATAAAAATAAATTATACAAAGACAAAAATTATTAAAAAAAATTTGCATTTGTAACTAATAATTGTCAATAAATGGAATATATGTAAATTATGAATTTTTTATATTTATTTCAATCTTGTCTGTTTAAATTAAAAAGATATATTTCCTATGAATATTTATACACACTAATCGGTAATAATTATATTTCATAAAGACTTAATGTGCATACACACTTTATTCTTTACAACTTGCTTTATGTCTTTATCACAATCTAATGCACCCTGTGTATTTACTGTACCAAGTACATTCATGTGTACACATATGCAATATATGAATACATGAAATTTTAAACTCATGTATTGCTTTCACACATTTAAATGTTTTTACCTAACCTCTATGAAATGAAAATAAATTTTGTTTTTATTACAATACGTATAATAAAGTTGTGTCAAGTCAATGTTTTGTAATGTAGCACTTTTCGCTTTAACACGTGAAAATACTGATTTTAAAAACAATCTACATATGTATACTTTCTATACTATTAAAATTATCTTTATCATTATGACTATTATCATTGTCATCACTATTATCATTATCACTATTATCATTATCACTATTATCATTATCGTTATGACTATTATCATTATCACTATTGTCATTATCATTATCACTATTATCATTATTATTATCACTATTATCATTATCACTATTATCATTATCATTATCACTATTATCATTATCACTATTATCATTATCATTATCACTATTATCATTATCATTATCACTATGATCATTATCATTATCACTATTATCATTATCGTTATCACTATTATCATTATCACTATTATCATTATCATTATCACTATTATCATTATCGTTATCACTATTATCATTATCACTATTATCATTATCGTTATCACTATTATCATTATCACTATTGTCATTATCATTATAACTATTATCATTATTATTATCACTATTATCTGACCATTGGTGCAGTGGTTATGGCACCGGTCCTTTAACCGAAGGGTCTCGGGTTCAAACCCCGGTCAGGTCACTATAAAAATTATATTCAATATTATTATAACTTAATATACAATACTAATAAATATTATACAAGTAATTTTCAAATATTCGTAATATTCCATATTAAAAAAAACTAAGAAAAATAAACAGTAAATATTAATAACCTCAAATAATTAATATAAATAAAACTACGGCAGATTAGTCACCTACCTAGTTAAACTCTATGACGCTATGAAACTAGTGCCTGAGAAATCATGCACTAGCCCTATGCTCCTTCTAGGAGTGAATAAGGAAAAAAAAAATTATCATTATCATTATCACTATTATCATTATCATTATCATTATCACTATTTGCATTATCATTACTACTATTAGCATTATCATTATCACTATTAGCATTATCATTATCACTATTATCATTATCGTTATCACTATTATCATTATCATTATCACTATTATCATTATCACTGTTATCATTATCACTATAATCATTATCATTATCACTATTATCATTATCATTATCACTATTATCATTATCATTATTGTTATTATCTATATCGCTATCATCATTATCATTATCACTATTATCATTATCATTATCACTATTATCATTATCATTATCACTATTATCATTATCGTTATCACTATTATCATTATCACTATTGTCATTATCATTATAATTATTATCATTATTATTATCACTATTATCATTATCACTATTATCATTATCATTATCACTATTATCATTATCACTATTATCATTATCATTGCCACTATTATCATTATCATTATCACTATTATCATTATCACTATTATCATTATCATTATCATTATTATCATTATCATTATCACTATTATTATTATCATTATCACTATTATCATTATCATTATCACTTTTATCATTATCATTATCACTATTATCGTTATCATTATCATTATCATTAGCATTATTTAAGCATAATTAAACTTTAAATCATATTTTTAGTTCTGATGTTTACCATAGCAAAATGTACATACTATGTTTAGAAAAATGAATGGAATCATGATAAAGGGAAAAACGAGTATAACTCAAAATTTTTTCAAAATGAGATCACACTTATCTCAAATGAATTAAGGAAGTCAAAATACATATGTATTTGGTAAAAATATCGTTAATCTGCAATACCTAGAAAACCTTTTATATACTACAATGTTAACAAAAGTACAAATATACGATTTTTTAATGTGCGCGATAAAATGCTACAAATCATTATGTTTTTTTTTTATATAAGGCAAAATAAATTCAAAATATGTACGTAATACGTATGGTACATTAATATTCATAAAATCAGTTAAATTAATATATATTGCCTTTGAATAAATTTCGTATGTGTTGCGATAAATTTTTATTAAGTTCTACCTTTTCCAGAAAAATGCATATTTTTCATTATACTTGTATTCGCCTTATCATAGCATTGACAATAATAAGCAAAGTAAAAATAAAATAGTAATATGGTATGTAAAAAGCGCGTTACTATTTCCAAAGCACAAAGACACAATGGGCTTTAAAATTATACCATATCAAGCTAATTCAAATGATACCGTATTATACTTTCTTAGTTGCAAGATATATAAAAGAAATATAAAAATGCTAGAGAGAGGTTAGAAAAAAATCAAATTCTGTCCTTAAAATTTTGTTTCCCGATACAATTCGACCTTTTTTATATATAATATAAACGCTTTTAATATATATGTAATTATTATTCAAATACGTTTATACTTAGGTAGCTAAAAATTGCATTTTTTCAGATTTAGACGAAACCTTAATACATTCACAACATGATGCAATGCCTAGAAACACTGTTAAACCAGGAACACCTCATGATTTTACTGTAAAAGTAACAATAGATCGACATTTAGTTCGTTTTTTTGTGCATAAACGCCCGCATGTTGACTTTTTTCTGGATGTGGTTTCACAATGGTATGATTTAGTCATATTTACCGCTAGTATGGAAATTTATGGAGCCGCCGTAGCTGACAAATTGGATAATGGAAGAAATATATTTCTAAGAAGATATTATCGACAACATTGTACACCGGATTTTGGTTCATACACAAAAGACTTATCAGCAATATGCAGTGATTTAAATCGTGTATTTATAATAGACAACTCTCCAGGTGCTTATCGATGTTTTCCAAATAATGCAATTCCAATAAAAAGTTGGTTTTCGGACCCTACAGATGTATCACTTTTATCATTGCTATCAATTTTAGAGGGATTAAGGTTTACAAACGACGTTAGATCAGTTTTATCTAGAAATTTACATTTACATCGTTTATGGTAGCATATTGGTTTGCTTTAAGTATAAATAGGAAACTTTTTATTAGAAAATAATTTTTTTATTAAAATAGTAAATATTTTTATTTTTATTTAATCTATGAAATATAAAAAAGTGTAAGGTATAATAAAATTATTACAATTTAAAGTAACCAAGCCAAAATATGCTTTTTGTTTTATTACCAAGTCCCTTTCCGAGGCGAAAATTAAGAAATAAGTCAGTTAAATGTTAATCTTGATAACTATCAGATTTTTCATTCCATTTCCTGCTTAGTACGCAGCATTCAAAATCATAAGAAAATTACGAAAACAATGTGATATAAAAAGTTTGCTATACTTTAACGCAAATTAAATAAAAGAACGAATTTCAAGGTATTTTTGATAAAGCAATATGTTTTCGCATTTCCAATGCAGTCATTTATTCGTCAGTTTAGCAACGAGCTGATTTTTAGAGACCGTATTGTGTATACAATAGGTAGGTTATGTGATGGCAACAAATTTTGCATATCGAGTTTACAGTGGGAATGCACTTTTCCATGCTAGGGAAATGTCAATAAACCATTTTTAGCAACCTGTCGGTCTGTGTGTGCATGCGTGTGTCTAAAATTCGACTGAACCGATTTTGATGAAATTTTATATGTAAGTTTATTTCCACCATGGCACGGATTGATCATTGGGATATATCAGGTCTCGGGAACTGCATTTTTTAGCGAGAACTGATCTGCGGGCCGATTTTGCATTTTCTCCATATATACGGAACGAATTGATGGTATTTCTTGAAATTTGATATTTAAGTTCTGGTACCGAAACTAACTGGGGAGCATTTCAGGGAATTCGGGTAGCACAAAGCGAAACTCTACTAAGAGCCAAATTTACATTTTTCTAGGTGTGTTAACAATAAGCCTAAAAATTGCAAAGAAGTATTTAACAGACATTTTTATAATATCCTGTAACACTTTCACTTAACTAGACAATACACATTGCGGTCGGTTATGTCTCGTTGACATAAGATTTTTTTTATATGAGAATTTGGATTTTCGGCATTGTCTTTATTTTTGGCAAAGTATATGGTAAATTCTTAAACGTCAAATTTTACAAAATCTGAGTTGTCTGAGTTTACGAATACTCTACTGCGTTTTTACTTTCAGCCAAAGTTTAAATTCTTAAACGTTTAAAAAAAGTCCATTAAGCGTCAAAATTGTAAATTTTTTTTTTTACCTGTAGACAGTTTGACGTAGTAATTCAGTAAATAAATTTGATGTATTGAGTGACTATCATTACGTTAAAAATAATATAAAATATTTTTTTTGTTAATTTTTAATATGTATAAAATTATTTTAAATCTAAAAAAATTTTTTTTTTGTTTTGACGTTTACGGATGATCAAAATTCAAAGTCAATTACGGGTAAAAAGTTTACTACATTTCTGGCCGTAAAAGTTTTATACGTCAGACAGTTTGCAGACTGAAAACAAAATTTTGATGTTAAAGAATTTGCGGATATATCTATATAAAAATTAGTTCGATTATCCATTTACATCACATTAATGCAATCACTGTCCAATATTTGTGTACAAAAAATTGCCTTAGCTAAAAGAGTTAAGAAGTAAATTTATTATTTTCAATTTTATATACATAGGAATTTTTGAGATAGAGAAAGAGTATACAATGTATGCCTGCCTATTTTTTTATAATGTATTTTTAGAGGCGGAAATTTCTTATTTTTCGTCTATGAAGTATAAGGAAAAATATTAAAAGTTTCAAGAACCCGAATTTCTTTTGTGTAATTCATTCCATCACAAGATGGTAATAATGATAATACATACATATATCAATTGTATAAGCGATTTAAAAAAAACTTTACATATCGTTGATATTATGAGAGTCTCACGAAACTGCTCTTTTTGCGTTTCGAGGGAAACGCATTTGAAAATATACATAATAATATCAATTAGCAGATACGTGCAAAATTTACGTAATTTTTCTGAAAATACTAACGTTAGAGTTACGTGAATTTTTTATAAAGATAGTTTAGAAAATTCTAAATTTTTCTGTATATATACACAGATATCTGTATATACATGTACATTGTAGGAGTTTATGATATATAACTCAAAACTCTCAAAAACCAGTTTCGTGACTTTTCCATAATACACACGATATATAATATAATTTTAAAAAATAATAAAAATAAATTATACAAAGACAAAAATTATTAAAAAAAATTTGCATTTGTAACTAATAATTGTCAATAAATGGAATATATGTAAATTATGAATTTTTTATATTTATTTCAATCTTGTCTGTTTAAATTAAAAAGATATATTTCCTATGAATATTTATACACACTAATCGGTAATAATTATATTTCATAAAGACTTAATGTGCATACACACTTTATTCTTTACAACTTGCTTTATGTCTTTATCACAATCTAATGCACCCTGTGTATTTACTGTACCAAGTACATTCATGTGTACACATATGCAATATATGAATACATGAAATTTTAAACTCATGTATTGCTTTCACACATTTAAATGTTTTTACCTAACCTCTATGAAATGTTTTCATTTCATAAATTTTGTTTTTATGATAATAATAAAGTTATGTCAAGTCAATGTTTTGTAATGTAGCACTTTTCGCTTTAACACGTGAAAATACTGATTTTAAAAACAATCTACATATGTATACTTTCTATACTATTAAAATTACTTTCATTCGATACAAGACTATTTCAAGAATTGCATAAACTTAGGATGAATGATTTATGTAGTCTTTGAAATAAAACAGAAAAAATTTCAAGAGGCGTTAACATAACGCGCAATTTTAACTGCATAAGTTAAAAAAAAAATTTACATAATGATACGGCATTTACCGTTAGTGGCCCCGATAGCCGAGTGGTAAGGCACTCAGGTACAGAAATGTTACAACTGGCGGAGCGTGGGTTCGAGTCTCACGGAATCGCAACTAATTTCGCACAATATTGTCCCACAGCGATTCCAGTATATCCTAAAAAAATATAATATTAATATAAAAACATTATTGCAAAATAATTCCCCATAACCTTAAATATACAATATAATAGTCGCATTTAATATTAAAAATAATAAAAAATATAACTTACATTACAATATCTTAATAATCACTAACAACAAGTATAGAAAAAAAGTCACCTGTCATCAAAATCTGACTTTTATTATCGTCAGTCAGCCAATTTAATGACTTGTACACATCCAACGCAACTAAAAACTACACGAGGCAGATGTAAGAACTACCATAGACGACGTCTTCTCTATTGGACGAAAGATGGCACACTACGGCAGGCTAAACATCTTGCTTAGTGAATACAATCGATTCTTGAAATTAAAATAGAGCCTCGGATAATAAATGAAAACGATAATTGGCATGTAACGACAATTGGCATACGAAAAAGAATACGAATTGGAAATTGGAATCACTTGGAAATATGGCTATACATTCGGGATACATTCGGGGTTGTAGCATTGCTGAGAGGGGGTAAGATTTATAGTCAACTGGGGCTTGTGCAGGTGCATTATGAAATGGTCACTCTATTCTGACAGAATAGCACTTAAAATATGCACAAGAAATGGGAGACATCATACTTGTACGGTGCTATGGCCTCACAGAAGCTGTAAGCGATGAAAAGAAAGACGCATTCTACTCCCAGATGTCCACAGTGTTGTGTAGGATATATCGAAATGAAATATGCATTTTAATAGGTGATTGTAATGGGAACGCAAAAATTGCAACATTAAAACAACTACAACGGGAATACAGAGGCTGGTGTTAGAAACGGAGATAGATTAGCACAAAAAGATAAACAAATACACGTGGATGCCACCTGACGGGAGAACAACATAAATATAAAGCAAGAATTTATATCGAAAATATCAGACGATAGAAACTTGGAAAAAAATAGAAGAACGCCGTGAGTTCCACAAGGAAATACATAAAAAATAACAGCCCAGAAACAAGAACAATGTGTAATGCGTTAGCAAGATAGTCAAGATTTTCGATCGGCGGTCCCACAATAAGATAGTGAGAAAAGCACAAACCTCAGCTGACATGAACAATATGAGACACACACAAAAATGCATTAATGCCCTCAGAAATAATAGCAGAAATTTCTCTGCTAAAATACATATTTAAAAATTTGCCACGGAATATTTCTGATGAAATAGTTAATGAATCTTTTTATTAATACAGCAGTGAGGAACATATTACTGGGGTTGAGGTTGAAAACATTTTTAGTGAAGTAGAGGAGGACGCAATAGAATATGGCTGGGTACTTAATTAAAGAACTTAATTTAAATGATTAAACTTTTACTTGGGTAGACCAAGCGTCTTAAAAAACAAGGTAAACATTTTTATAATATCCTGTAACACTTTCACTTAACTAGACAATACACATTGCGGTCGGTTATGTGCTGTTGACATAAGATTTTTTTTATATGAGAATTTAGATTTTCGGCATTGTCTTTATTTTTGGCAATATTTTTGGCAAAGTATATGGTAAATTCTTAAACGTAAAATTTTACAAAATCTGAGTTGTCTGAGTTTACGAATACTCTACTGCGTTTTTACTTTCAGCCAAAGTTTAAATTCTTAAACGTTTAAAAAAAGTCCATTAAGCGTCAAAATTGTAAATTTTTTTTTTTACCTGTAGACAGTTTGACGTAGTAATTCAGTAAATAAATTTGATGTATTGAGTGACTATCATTACGTTAAAAATAATATAAAATATTTTTTTTGTTAATTTTTAATATGTAAGTATAAAATTATTTTAAATCTAAAAAAAATTTTTTTTTTGTTTTGACGTTTACGGATGATCAAAATTCAAAGTCAATTACGGGTAAAAAGTTTACTACATTTCTGGCCGTAAAAGTTTTATACGTCAGACAGTTTGCAGACTGAAAACAAAATTTTGATGTTAAAGAATTTGCGGATATATCTATATAAAAATTAGTTCGATTATCCATTTACATCACATTAATGCAATCACTGTCCAATATTTGTGTACAAAAAATTGCCTTAGCTAAAAGAGTTAAGAAGTAAATTTATTTTTTTCAATTTTATA